CACACACACACACACACACACACACACACACACACACACACACACACGTGGCTTAATAGCGGTTTTAAAAGCCTTTTTACAATAATGCTCACTCCGCAGCTCGCTCACAAAGCTGGCGGGCTGGCAGTTCAGAGCTTGGGATTGAGTCAATAAGACCATTATGTTCCCCCAACAGCAGCCAGAGCCCGTAACCTGCACAACTCACCGTGCTTATGGGCCCAGAGGAAGCACACGCACTTGTTTAAGCACACCAGCACCTATGAGATACACCTACTATACATAGACGGACACACTTTACACACACTCACACACACACACACACACACACACACACCAAGTTTCAGAGTTTTGTGTCAAAAGGTGTATTGTAATGTAGAGTAAGGCTGTTGATGGTTGCTACAGACTAGATGGACAAATTCTGTTTCTAAGTTAGATTTTTACCACCAGTAGGGCGACAAATGTAAATTCTGGCCTGAGGGTGGCACCAAAGGAAAAGACAGAGGTCTATGCTTTGTACACACTCATCCACTGCATTCGATTTCCATTAAAACGTGTTCTCTTCTTTTTTTTTTTTTTCTGAGGTTGGGAACTTGACCAGACCTACTTTTTGCCAAACCGACCGGTTTTGGACAAGCCGCACAAAGATGAGAACCATGCCTTGTTGGACGTGTTTTTAATCAGCGTGTTTTGGTTTTGCAAGAGCGAAGGCTTCAAAGAGGACGACTAACTGGTTGGTTTGGCAAACGTACATCTGGTTGACTTTTCTGCCTCAGCACACACTCACTTTCCTCGGCTTCTCAAAGCCTCAAGCTGGATTTAAGCTTGACGCAGATTGATGTCGATTCCTGATTCATAATTCAGCCTCAGGTTGCACCTCTGCACCAAAACACCAAGGCAAGTTCCTTGTATGTGCAAACCAATACACCTGATTCTGATTCTGCAACGCCAAACAAATCAGACCGTATCGTTGCATCATGCTACATTCCTCATAGTCACTGTGTTTACATGCACTCAGCAAACAGTTTAAAGTGCACATAACGTTGCTTAATGTTTAATACCTGAAAGGAGAACATAACTGAGCTTTTTTCAATTGTCACAAGCAGCTCATACCGACCAAACACAGTTGTTGCACCCCCTTGTTGGGACGGCAGCTGTGTTTAGGCTTTTGAGCTTAATGCTAATGCGCTCACAGCTAACATGTGAATAAGTTAACATTCAAGTCATAAGGTATAGATTGTCAGCAGGAGATCAGCATTAGGATTCATCCTCTGGGCAGCAAGAATGTCTAACAAATTCAATTACAATCAATCCAATAGTTGACGACATATTTCACTCTGGACCAAAGTGTTGCTCTGCATTGCTATCTCTACAGCGACACCACTAGCCTGTAGCTGTAAGCTAACCAAACGGAACAGTTGCGTGTTTGCAGAGTGGCAAAGGTTACAGTAAAATATTCTGTCTGTTTCCACTGGCTCTAGAGCACTAAGAGGATTCTGATGAGTTAAACATGTAACATCCAACTTATTGAGATGTGATGTTGGGTTCTGCCACAGTTAAGTAAAAGATAAAAGATAAAGTGAAGTTCAGGTTTGTGACGGACAAAAAACGTCTTCAGTGGCAGATTTTATAAAGACTTTCAACCATTTCCAGTGTGATTCCTGTCCAAAACTGCAGGTAATGTTTGGATACATTTACATTATATCCTGTTAAAATACACCACTGCAAATACTTCTCACATATTTACATCCAAGACGCACACTCAAGTGACTGTACAACACACGCACACCCATGGCACAATGGCAGGCCCCAGGGCCCCAGACCCCAGAACAGTCTCAGGTAGATTGGGTGTCATTTTTTCTCTGCCTCCACATTCATTGCATCGTATAATCAGGTCGTAACCTAGTTGATGTCTTTATGAAACAATCTGCTGCACTGCAGGCGAGAGCACGTGAAGGGTATAGAGTGGCAGGGTGTGGAAACCCGTCGTCGTCGTCATCGTTTGTCGCGGCCGGGACACTGCAGCTCCTGCGACTCGAACCTGAGCGTGGGCGAGTTGTCTCTTTTGTGTAAAGGATACACATTAGGGTCTATGTAATTACAGAGCGAGTGCGGTGTATAATTTGAGTCATCACAGAGAGAGTGAATGAAGGAGAGCATGGTGTTACTGTAGTGTGGGAAAGAGGTGTGTTTAAAGGGTGGTCAATGGGGGGGGGGGGGGAGGCTTGTTGTTGTGCACCACCAGGGGGCAGTAGAATAGTTCCCACAGGAACTGGGGGGCTTCACTGTCAGGATGCAGGTCACACTCTAGGTATCTTCCTTGTTTCCTTCCTCTTTCTTCGTCTATCTTTTGCTTTTTCTTCCTCTCATCTCGTTTCCTCTAATCCTCCTCACCCTCCCTCCTTTCTCTTCCCCTCCCCACTTTCCCATTTTCCATTCTCAAAGCCACGACAGTTAGCTCGCTCAGTTGAGTTATTTTCAGCGCCGACACCTCCAGAGTCCTCCGCTGCTCACCAATTTACTGCACGTGCTTGCGAGCCCACTCGCAGAGAGAGGTGTGGGGGTCAGAGGCGGCGGATGGAAAAAGTGAGTCGAGTACAGTATAAGGTGGGAGGAGTGAATCAAACAAGATGCACCGGAGAGGATCTGCTGCATTTGGTGAGAGAGTGTGTGTGTGGGTTGTAGGCGAAGCGGCCTCCACATTGTGTTGACGTTGAAACACGAGATCACATGCTGAGGGGGAACGGCCAGAACCGATGTCTGGCCAAAGTTGTCGTTTTCTCCATGAGCGCTGCTGCGGTTTAGGGGGGAAGCTGAAAAGTGTGATGGGGGAGGAATTTGTCTCCTGTTCAGTTGTGGTCATTCATGAGGAGAAGGGTGTGAGTGTTTGTGGTGCTTTGTATGAGTGTGTTTAATGTGCACTATTAAACCCTGAGACTGGATGTCAGCAGTATAGTGGCAGAAGCACTTAAATGCTTTTATTAAGTGAAAGTACCAATACAACAACGAAAAAACTAATTACAAGTAAGAGTCAGTCCTCCATTCAAAAATACTACTTAAGTAAAAGTAACATAAATATGATCAGCAAAATGTACTTAAAGTATCAAAGTAAAAGCACGCGCTGCTTAGTAAAATGGACCCTGTGTGTGATATATTACATTATCACATCGTTAACACTGATGCAGCATTTTTCAGTTGTAGTTAGTCGAGGTGGAACTAGTTTTAGCTGCTTTATATACGCTTAGTCAAGACTAGTGCTTCCCAAACTAGGAGTTATGCCAATCCAAATCTGCAGGGTCACGAGATGATTAGTCAGACAGGAAAGAAGAAATAACAACACTGAAGACGGCTGAAACAACTAAACACAGCTTTATGTTAGAAGTCCCAAGACGAAACAGTTGGAAACCACCAGTTTAATCTTTTACAAGATGTTGTTTGTTTATTTTGTTTCTCATGCAAAGTAACAAGTAATTACAGCTGTCAGATAGATGTCGCTGAGTAAAAAGTACAATATTTCCCACTGAAATGTAGTGAAGTACGAGTAGTGTCATAGAAAGTAAAATACTTGAGTAAATGTACTCAGTTACTTTCCACCACTGGGTGTCAGTGGGTTTGTGTGGGAATGAACTGTAGGCCTGAGGAGGTCTGGAGGGCATTTTCTTTAAATGCCAGTGGTGGTGTGTTTGTGTCTGAGTAGGTGGGTGGGTGTGGGTGGGTGCGGGTGGGTTTTTTTGGGAGGGGGGGGGGGTGGATCTTGCATCCATTCCCTGCTGGATGGTGAAAAGTGCAGCGCAGCAGAAATGCATTCCAAGGTGGGGTGGGGGGGGGGGGGGGCTGAGGGGTTCCCACGATTACGGGTTTTTTTGGTGGGGCGGGGGTTTCGCCATCTCCGCTAAATGGCAGGAAAAGAGGGGAGAGTGTATAGATGATTAGTAGTGAAGGGGCCAAACCAGAGAAAAATGTTTTAGCCCCAACCTTTTATTGTTTATAGATAAAACGCTTTGCCAGAACCATTAACAGAAAAAAAAAAAAAGCGAGCGAAGGGGAGAAAAATCACAGCCTTGGACCATTAAGAACAAAAACTGATTCTTTAAGAAGAAAAAGCTGCTTGTTATGTGATGTTCGGCGTGTCTTTGCATGCTGATACATGTGTGTGTGTGTGTGTGTGTGTGTGTGTGTGTGTGTGTGTGTGTGTGTGTGGCTTGGAGAAGCCTGCAGCGGGCCCTGTAGCCGGTCTGACTGCTAATGAACTTGGATCGGCGTCCGTGAGCGTTGGGGCTGAAAGGGCTCTTTCTCCCGCTCGGGCACAGCCACTCAGCTGTCACTCGCTGACCTACAGCTCTCTGATTATGTCACTGTCGCTTAGAAGGCTCCGCATTCATCCATCATTAGGCTACAAGTCTGGACACCCCAATCAAACACCCTATTAAAAACCTTCTACTGGTCTCTTTCAGTTTGTTCGCTGGTTGCAGCTGCTGCTCGGCACCAAGACAACCAGTGTGCCAAACAATCTCTTCCTCGTGGATCAAATGAAGGTGAAGTGTAGAAATGTACAGAATAAGTGATGAAAGTAGAAGTTGAGTGTCACATTTTTACTATTCCGCCAACCTACATTTTGGCATTACGTATTTCCACTCCGTGCCACTTTTTACGTTTACTCCAGAACTCGTTTAGAAGGAAATATTGTCCAACATTTATCCGACAGCCGGAGTTACGTTGTGGAATCCGATTTAACGCAAAGAAACGTAAAACACAGCAACCGTTACCGGTGTTAAGACACAATAATCTCAAGTTGTAGTGAGGGTACAAGGTTTCTTATCCCACGAATCATCTCGGAACCCCCCAGATTTAAGCTTTTACTTTGGGAACCAGTGTTCTATTCCCAACCAGCTGCAAGAATAAAATGCTGCGTATGCATTAGAGTTCATTACCTACTAATGTAATATATAAATAAGCATAAATTACAGCTAGGGCTGGGTATTGTTTACTACGATACTAGTACCAGTGCCCTTAAAGTGATATCGATACCGAGGTGTGTGTGTCCCACTGGCGAGCTCATCGACGCTCTACGCTTTTCTGCACATCTTAAGAAGTTACTTTTGATACTTTGTGTACATTTTGCTGCTAACACTTTTTAGATGTTGAACACAGAACACAGGATTTCTAAAGTGTCGGGTCAGTACTTGGATTTGAATAAAGAGTCTTCTTCCAGCACTGCATGCTGTGCGTTTTCGGCCTCTTGGATCTGGAGGAATCCATTGAGCGCCGGTCGCCAGGAGCAACAAGCCTTCGGGAGGAGGAGGAGGGCGAGGAGGAGGAGGGATCTTGTGTCCACCCGTCCACACCTCCCTCTCTCCCTCTCTCTCTCTCTCTCTCTGTCTCTCGCTCTCTCTGCCATCCTTTCCTCCCCTCCCTCCCCTCACATGGGCTTTGCCTTTGGCTGAACGCTGGGATTCTTTCACAGAGGCTGCCGGTTGCCAAGAGAGAGAGAGCCACTGAAAAGCTGGGCAAATGTATGTGGGTCACTGCGAGTCAGAAGGGGGCTTTTCATTTCCCCTTCCCTCCTTTTTTCTCCTCCTTTTTGTTCCTTTGTTCTTTTTTGGCTCTTTTGGCTCGCTCCTTCCTCCCCCACGAGTGAAAAGATAACATTGATTTGTGTCAGTCCCGTTTATTATTTGTCCTGGACGAGCCGCTAAGACAATCCCCAATACGATATGAAGCGGTGTCCTATTGACTTCTTAACTTCTCTCTGGGTGTACACACATCTCTGAGCGTCCCTTTGTGTGTGTGTGTGTTTGTTTGTTTGGCTTGTGTTCCTGAACCCATGGACAAACAGAAGGGGACGAACTGCACTAAAAAGGATCTGGAGCAGATGCTCCGTTGGCCTCAGTCTCACTTCCTTTCAGCAGCTCTCGACTTCTTCTTTCCCTTCCTCTTTCTCTCTGATGGATGTTGAGTGGTTTGTGCTCTGTTTTTTTGTTTTTTTGTTGGTCTGGCTGACTGCAGGGACGCGGGAAAGTGATCCAGGCTGTTGACACTGCAGGGACGGATCAGGAGGACAGCTTGTGTTGTTGGCTTTACCCTGATATGTTTGTCTCTCTCTCTCTCTCTCTCTCTCTCTCTCTCTCTCTCTCTCTCTCTCTCCCCCTCCCTCTGTCTTTGGCTGTTTACATTTCTATTAGTTATCGACAGACAATCAGAAAAACAACCCCCAGGAAGAGTGGCATTTAGGCCCGCAAAGTTCATCAGTGCCTCTATCTGTGGTCACATCTACGGGAGTTTCAGGGGATTTTTAAAAAAAATGTTTTGACATGTGTTATCTCCTTTTTGAGGCAGTGAGAGTGAGTCTGTGCACATTGCATCGTTTCACTATTTCACCCTCTTTGTGTCTCTACGCTTCCCAAGGTTGTGAAAGACTTCGTCAATGGGGTATAAAGTCTAGATATCCCAGATATCCACATCAGAGCACGCTATTATTTCATTAGATTGATATCAGGTTGTCTGACACCACCCTCTTTCTCCCCCGTTCGCCCTTCTTCGGCAGAGTTTCTCATTTCAGGAAAGACAATGGCCTGTCTATCCTGCAGTACTAAGTAAATGTCAGGTACTGTCTACCCTCCTCCTCATCTATTCACTGAAATGCTCTGGGGGCTGAGGGCCAGATATCCATCTAGCAGGGTCTGTATACATATGTGCTACATGGTACAACTCCAGTCAGGTTACTGGATCGGGTTTCTCCACATGTATATAGTTTACAAGAACTCACACAAGGCCTAGGACAGATTTCAGGCATCTTTTATTTGATGTTATCAGTGAGGTTTTCAGCTTGTGTGAGCTGAATAAGAAGGTGTTTGTGGAGGCTTTTCTTGGGCCCAAACGTATTGCTTAATTGGGCAATTATCAGACAAACCCAGAGTGAAATTTTGAGCCTGGGGCCTGACATGGCTGCCCCAAGTAAAGTCCTGTTTGGAGTTGAAATGATTAGCTGATTATTATCAGATAACCTTTATAGAGAAGTAATCTCATTGAGACCCCTTGGTCTCATTCTCAAAAGTAATCAATTAGTTGAGTTGAAATGCCAAACACCTTCCGTTCTGGTTCCAATTTTGAAAATGAGTTGGTTCTCATGACATTGTATAACAATAAACTGACTATGTTTGGGTTTGGACTGCTGGTCGGACAAAACAAGACACTTCCAGATGCCGCCGTAGACTAAAACTGTCATCGCCATTTCTTCATATTTTCGGACATTTTCTAAACCATACGATCAATCAAGAAATCAAGTATATAATTGGAAGATTAATTGGCATTTAAAGCGTCAATAATCAATATTTTATAACAGTGTGTCAAATCACTGTGTGTGACGAAACTACAGAGAGTTATCAGCTGACTGCTGTTCCCCTTTTGCTCTTTGTTTTGTTTGTAACTGGCTGCAATATTGCATTCATATCTATCTAATTTACAATTTTAACTAATTGACATAGTTAACCACACTATGGTAGTAAATGTGTTGTATTTGTATGGATCGCAGCACCTTACCATACAAAGACATTACATTTACTATCATCTACAACAACTCCTCATCTTACTTGCACTTGTTTTTGTGATCCATCTATCTCTCTATCTCTCTCCCTCTCACTATATCTCTCAGTCTCTCTCTATTGCTCTATATCTCTGTATGTCTGTAAACTTCATGTTGAAAATACTACTTTGTATATGGAAAAATTTGATTCAAAAGTTATCTTTTTTGTGCTTTCCGGTACAGACTGATGGTGTGTTAGTCCTGGTTGGAAAAGGAAAATCCTCGTCATCCTCCTGCTTTCCCAAAAAGGATCGGCTAAATGAAAGGTACGTGGCTCTAATATATATATCGGGGTTTGTTACTCCTGGAGGGACTGACGGCATGTGTTATGTTATATCATTAGGATAATAATTCCTCCGATATAAGACACCTCTGGCAGTCTTCAGCCCTTTCATATCCCCCCTCTTTGCTTCGGACATCTGGCAGACATACGCCTCGGGCTCATGCGCAGGGAGGATGTGGGGGCAGGGATCGATTCCATAACTCTATGGACTGTTGACTGAGAGCTTCAGTAAAGAGAGATACGTCTCTTTCAGGTGTGAGCGCGAGCTTTCTGGTGCCGTTTTGTTCGGAACTAATAAGCTATCTCGAAGCCAGAGTCTTTTTCTACTGTAACATTATGAGGGAGGCAAAAAAACAACAAAGCTCCAGTCACCTGATTTCCTCTGTCTCTCATCTGAGGGTTTTTCTTTTCACTTCCTGCTCGGCTGGTATTTCTACAAGCTCGGTGTTAGTGGTGATGACAACAACATGTGTGCCGCAAACTTAATTTAGGCTTCAGCGTGAAGCGAACAATAGGTCATATGTGTTGTGACTGACTTTTTTTATAAAGTCCTCTGAAGCCTAATTGCTAATTGCCATCAGACATTATCCAGGGCCTACTTGCAAGAACTATGGAGATCATTGGGGGGGGGGGGGGGGG